GCCACCGCCGCCCCCGTTCCGCCACTCCCACCGCCGCCTCCGCCGCCTCCTCCGCCGCCACCTCCGCCACCACCTCCGCCTCCGCTGCCGCCACTAGTACCTCCACCCCCGCTACCACCCCCACTGCCACCCCCACTCCCCCCCGCTGCCCCCACCTCCTCCGCCACTGCCCCCGCTAGCTCCACCCGCTCCCTTGCCCTCCTTGCCCCTGCTAGAGCGGCGCCTACCGCTGGGGGCAGACGCCGCTCCGACCGACTCTAGACCAACGAGGTCGGCCGCAGCAGCAGAGGCGACAGAGGGTAACAGGGGGGAAGGAGAACACCCCTCAAAGATGGGGGTGCGAGGGTCACCACGAGAGGCCCCTATAGCGACTATGCTCTTCTCGGCCGCTAGCAGGGACTTCTCGAGGAGGTCGACAGTGAGGGTGGTGGGACAGACAGAGAGAAACTGGTCCCTAACTACACGGAGGGACTCAGGGAGACGGGTGACTAGAAAGTAGAGGGTGATGTACATGGGAGGGGGGTTTGCGTCGCAGAAGTCAGCAGGAAGCGCAGCTCGGTAGCGAGTGTCACTAGCGCGGAGGTGGGTAAAGAGGTCAGCGACCGTGGGAAAGGCAGCAAGGTCAGGGAAGAGGTACGGTAGCATGAGGCGGCTCAGTGTAGCAGAGGAGGGGGAAGAGTAGCGCGCAACTACAGCGTCGTACAAGGCCTGAGCACTCTTGCACTGACTAAAGTGAGCACGCTCGGAGGAAGGGAGGTGGCGACGCACAGCAAGACGTGCAGCAGCATCGCGGGTGGCCCACTTGGAGCGAACAGTGGGGTCAGCATCAGCAGGAGGGGCAGGGAGAGCTCCAGTGGTAAAGTCAAAGAGAGAAATGCCATCGACCGAATCGCACTGCAAGTACAGCTGCAAGTCATCGAGCCAGACCACAAAGTCAATGGCGCGACCCTCAGCGTCAAAAGCCAGGACAGTAGGGGTGGCCATGACAGCAGTGACAGTCTCACCAGACAGGAAGGGTCGGGCAGCTCAGCAGCACAGCAATACGGCAGTACGGCAACTCCGCCGGCCCAGGAGCAGCAGTAGCCCCACAAGAGCAGGAGCTCGGCACCTCAGGCGGCTCGGGCGGCTCGGGCGACTCGGGCGGCTCGGGCGGCTCGGGCGGCTCGGGCGGCTCGGGCACTCAGCGGCACGGGCGACTCGGGCGGCGCTGCAGCTCGGGCGGCCCGTGCGGCTCGGGTGACACGGGTGGCACGGGCGGCGCGGTCGGTGTGGTGGGCGGCTCACGAGCGGCTCGTGGGCGGCTCACGGGCGGCTGAACGGGCGGCTGCACGGGCGGCACGGGCGGCTCACAGACGGCAGCACGGACGGCTGCACGGGCGTCATGGGTGGCTCACGGTCGGCTGCACGGGCGGCTGCACGGGCGGCTCACGGACGGCGGCACGGGCGGCTGCACGAACGGCACGGGCGGCTCACGGGCGGCTGCACGGGCGGCTGCACGGGCGGCTGCACGGGCGGGTGCACGGGCGGCTGCACGGGCGGCAGCACGGGCGACTGTACGGGCGGTTTGTCGGGCGGCGCACAGGCAGCTCACGGGCGGCTGCACGGGCGGCGCGTCGAGCTGCTGAGGGCGACGCACGGGCGGCGCACGGGCGGCGCACGGGCGGCTCACGGACGGCAGCACGGACGGCTGCACGGGCGGCACGGGCGGCTCACGGACGGCTGCACGGGCGGCTCACGGATGGCGGCACGGGCGGCTGCACGGGCGGCTGCACGGGCGGCTCACGGACGGCGGCACGGGCGGCTCACGGGCGGCTGCACGGATGGCACGGGCGGCTCACGGGCGGCACGCTGGGCGGCTGCACGGGCGGCTGCACGGGCGGCTGCACGGGCGGGTGCGCGGGCGGCTGCACGGGCGGCAGCACGGGCGACTGCACGGGCGGTTCGTCGGGCGGCGCACAGGCAGCTCACGGGCGGCTGCACGGGCGGCGCGTCGAGCTGCTGAGGGCGACGCACGGGCGGCGCACGGGTGGCTCACAGACGGCAGCACGGACGGCTGCACGGGCGGCACGGGCGGCTCACGGACGGCTGCACGGGCGGCTCACGGACGGCGGCACGGGCGGCTGCACGGGCGGCTCACGGACGGCGGCACGAGCGGCTCACGGGCGGCTGCACGGACGGCACGGGCGGCTCACGGGCGGCACGCTAGGCGGCTGCACGGGCGGCTGCACGGGCGGCTGCACGAGCGGGTGCGCGGGCGGCTGCACGGGCGGCAGCACGGGCGACTGCACGGGCGGTTCGTCGGGCGGCGCACAGGCAGCTCACGGGCGGCTGCACGGGCGGTGCGTCGAGCTGCTGAGGGCGACGCACGGGCGGCGCACGGGCGGCGCGTCGGGCGGCTAGCAGGCGTCGGGCGCTAGGGCGCTAGGGCGGCGACGGGCGGCGCTCAGGCTCTAGGGCGGGCGGCGCTCAGGCTCTAGGGCGGGCTGCGCTCAGGCTCTAGGGCGGGCAGCGCGCGGGCGTTAGGGCGGGCGGCGCTCAGGCTCTAGGGCGGGCGGCGCTGAGGCGCTAGGGCGGGCGGCGCTCAGGCTCTAGGGCGGGCGGCGCTCAGGTTCTAGGGCGGGCGGCGCTCAGGCTCTAGGGCGGGCGGCGCGCGGGCGTCTAGGGGCCGTTAGGGCAGATCGAAAAAAAAGGAAGAGAAAGGGCCCGGAGCGCGCTCCGGGCAGAAAAAAAAAAGTTACGAGGTAGTGGTGGTGGGCCCTAAGCACAGTTCCCACAGAGGAACCTGCTCGATACCATGAGAAGAAGTGAACGAGAATGAAATGACTATGAACGAAGTGAGTACAAATAGGAAACCCTAATTGGGTTGTACCCCCTATGGGATACCTCACTATAGCCTACACAAATAAGTAAGCTATAATGTTCTGACACGCCAGGCCTACGCGCGACCCGTACGGGCGGCGCGAGGCCCGCGCGCGGCTCGGGCCGCCTGCGCGCGGCTCGGGCGACCCTACCTGCGGCCCTGGCCCCGGCCCCGCCGCCCTACCTGCGGCCCCGTCGTCCCGTCGCCCTACCTACGGCCCGGCTCCGTCGCCCTACCTACGGCCCGGCTCCGTCGCCCTACCTACGGCACCGCCCCCCCCCCCCCCCCCCCCCCCCCTTTTTCCCGTCGCCTGTCGAGGCGACCTGAGGGGGCCGCGTGGGGGGGTGGCGGGTGTGTAGTCTCCCTTGCTCCTCCTCCTCCTCTGTCTCCCACTGCTGCAGCTACCGCTGAGGGGGGTGGGTGTGTGGGATTCAACGAAGTGGTGCTAGGGGGTGGGGTGAGAGTGGAGCTAGGGGTGTAGCAGCGGGTGTGTGTCAAGGGGAGTGGGATCGTTTGGGGAAGCTGTATGGAGGTTGCCGTCGTGTCGCCAGCAGCACCTGTATTCCGGGGACTTCGTCCGGTAGCCCAGTCGTAGCCAGCTGTGCCAGCCGCCCGTGGGTCCGTTGCTCGTCTGCTGCTACTTTAGCCGCGGGGCCTGTTACTCCTGTATTCCAGGGACTTCGTCCGGTAGCCGCTGTGCCAGTATGCCTCCTGTTGCCCATGTGTCTGCAGCTTCATCCGTCGCCTCCTATCTCCTCTCCTCTCACTCTCTCTCCTCCTCCTCACTTGGTCGTTGTGACTACCTCTAGCTTTGCTAATAATTGTGAACTTTAAACTATTGCTTCTTGAACTTGTGCTCAGAATGTGTGGTGACATTGTGATCCACCCTGAGCTTGTTCTGTTTTGCTTACTTTGCTGATTACACCCCACTTTGGCTATGGGGGTGTGTCCGAATGTTATCTTATGCTCTAGCCTGTAGTGGGGTGCTCTATAGCGAGTACAACCCTTCTAGGGTTTGCTATTTGTATCCCCATTCTTGCTAGTGCAACCCTCTTCTTTCTTCTAATTTTGATAGGATTTACTGTTCCTTTTGAACAGTACTTTCCCAACCCATCCAACTCATCCTCATCTTATCTTTCTAGATTTCCTAGTGCCACGTGGCATTCTACTTTCTTTGCCTCACATTTCCTAGTCCCACAAAGTACTTTCCGACATTCGCTCTTGCATGCTATATCATCCTTGCTTGTATCCACCAATATCAATCAATTCTCATTCAACTCTTCAATTACTCAGTTACCTCTTCGCCAATTTCGCCAACACTCTCTTTCACCAAAGTCTTCCGCCGCGTTTATCCTCAACTTAGTCAACCCCGCTATTCCTTAGTGGACTTAGGCCGTCGGGCCTAACACATTTCCACCTATTCACATCTGTTCCTCGATTGAGGAACTTGTTTAAAGCCGTTGGCCCAAATTGCACAAGTTTTTAAAACTTGGCCCAGGGGAAAAACGGGTGGCGAGGGGTGTGAAAGGGAAAGTTGGGAGCCGAAAGAAGGCACACCCAGTAAGCGAAATCGCGAATTTTTTAGCGAACAGCCGAGTCTAACAACAGAAAACCAGCCAATAGAAATTGTCGCACGGCGCACCACACACCGCGACCAAAAATCACACAACACAACACTTTCGCAGCTCTTGCGCTGCCACACACACAACACCATGACCTAGGCTTTCGACAACCAACCATGAGGCCCGCTAGTGCTTGATACTGCATACAGCAGCCAACTATAGTAGGCGGCACGAGCAAGCACACTTGCGTCGCGGATGATAAAACTACCAAATCCTTAGCATTACGACAGCCATAAAGGTTGCAGTTGAGATAAAAAACGTCACACGACCGTCATCAACAAACAGAACCACTTCATTCGAGACGGCGAGATAGGGAATATGGCCCGTCGCCCTGGAAAGGATGCTTCTCGAAGGTACGAAAAAACCCTGGACACGGCACGAACGTCGGCGCGAAACTGAAAGCATCGGAATGCGGCGAAATATCAAACACTGAATGCCAGCGCGGATAACGTCATATGGCACTACGTGGGAAACCTCACTTTCGCTCAATAAATAGCGACGCCACTTGACCATCTCCCATGCACCCACCTTCGCCATCACTTCCCCCTACTGTCGCCATCACTTCCCCCTCACGTCGCCTCCACTTCCCCCTACTGTCGCCATCACTTCCCCCTCCCGTCGCCTCCACTTCCCCCTCACGTCGCCTCCACTTCCCCCTCCCGTCGCCTCCACTTCCCCCTAACGTCGCCTCCACTTCCCCCTCACGTCGCCTCCACTTCCCCCTCACGTCGCCTCCACTTCCCCCTCCCGTCGCCCCCACTTCCCCCTCACGTCGCCTCCACTTCCCCCTCACGTCGCCTCCACTTCCCCCTCACGTCGCCTCCACTTCCCCCTCCCGTCGCTTCCACATCCCCCTACAGTCGCCTCCACTTCCCCCACCCGTCGCCTCCACTTCCCCCTCCCGGCGCCTCCACTTCCCCCTCCCGTCACCTCAACCTCCCGCTCATGTCACCTCAACTTCCCCCTCCCGTCGCCTCCACTTCCCCCCCCCCCGTCACCACAAGTTCCCCCTTTCCCCCTGTGTGGTCCAATTCCCCCTTTGCTCGCCCCTTCATTCCCCTGCTCACTCCCTTGCCCCTTGAACACACTCTTCCCCTCTGCTCACTCCCTTGCTCCTTGTGTGGTATATTTCCCTCTCCTTAACCCTTGCTTACTTGCGTTCCCCCTTAGCTCACCCCCTTCTCCGCCCTGCTCACTCTCTTTCCCCCTTAGCTCACCCCCTTCTCCACCCTGCTCACTCTCTTTCCCCCACTGCTCACCCCTTTCTACACCCTGCTCACCCCTTTCTACACCCTGCGCACTCTCTTTCCCCCATTCCTCACCCCCTTCACCACCCTGGTCATTCTCTTTCCCCCTTTCCTCACCCCCTTCACCACCCTGGTCATTCTCTTTCCCCCTTTCCTCACCCCCTTCAACACACGGCTCACTCTCTTCCACACTTGCTCACCCCCTTCTACACCCTGCGATCTCTATTTCCCCTACAAACACCCTCCCTGTCCCCCAGTCCTACCCTCCCTTTCCCCCCCTCCACCTCGTCCTTCCCCGCACTACCCTTTCCTTTCCACCACACCTGCCCGTCCAATCCCCCACTACCCCCGATCCAATCCCCCACTTCCCCCGATCCAATCCCCCACTTCCCCCGATCCAATCCCCCACTTCCCCCGATCCAATCCCCCACTTCCCCCGATCCAATCCCCCACTTCCCCCCATCCAATCCCCCACTTCCCCTGATCCAATCCCCCACTTCCCCCCATCCAATGCCCCACTCCCCCCCGTCCAATCCCCCACGTCCCCCCGTCCAATCCCCCACTTCCCCCCATCCAATGCCCCACTTCCCCTGGTCCGATTTTCCCACACCACTAGGGCCACACCACCTTTCCGACTGTGCATGCCCTCCTATCTTGCAGCGACCCATTTCATCCTAGGTTCGCCCTCCCATCTGCGCCTCATTCTCACCAGCACCATCAACACCACCCATTCACCACACCATCAACACCACCCACTCACCAGCACCATCAACACCACCCACTCACCAGCACCTTCAACACCACCCACTCACCAGCACCATGTATACCACCCACTCACCAGCACCATGATTATGGCGGTTGAAATGCGCTCGCATCACCTCACACGGGTGATGCGGGGGGGAGGTGCTGCAGGATGGGTTGTACGAAAATGAGGGGATGTGAACCTGCAGAGGGGAAGGTGGGAGAGGCAACACAGTGGGCTCCTTTCCCCCACTTATTATTCCCCGTCGGGGCTCATCATCTGTTTTGGTGTCCACCGTCAATCTCGTCCATCTTTCCTCATTCAAATGCTACTGAATCTGCGCGCACGCCCAGCATTGTCGCGCAGGACATACAAGTTGTCCGTCATTGTATTTGGCTGTTGGGGTCTCCCTTGTAACGCATATCCAGCCATCGATTCCAAACCGTGCAAATCTATACACCATTTCCAAACCCAACCTTCAGGCGTGGGAGGCAGACGGATGCAAGAGCAAGTGGAGGGTCCACTGTAGCGAATCTTAGCGACGAGCATGACAAGGCGGTTCACGGCATATCCAAGCATATGAGGCCAGTCATATGCCTTCAACGATGCGGGTTGTCGGCATTGATGGGGGGGAAGACCGAGGCGACAACTGCTGATGTTCTTTACTACTTCATGATGAACGCCCCTACAGCGTACAAACGGCTGATGCGGGCTGCCAAAGAAGCAGGTAAGGGTGGAAAGTTGGTGATCAAGTCATAGCATGGTCGTGTGTCCGTGATAGTTGAGCAATCTGATTGTTTTGCGCATCACAACGGCACAAGCAGCCACACAATAATGGATGGGATGTACTTGGTGTCACCGTTGTTCCGTGGCAGGAACACATGGGGGAGATGCATTGGCGACGGCAGAGCTTCACCTTGAGGCATACGAGCGCCAGTTCGATGCACGGGCAAACAGTGGTATTAACGCCGTAACTGGGATAGTGGAGAAGGCAGATTGCCCAATCGAGGGTCTGGTTTACAACTTCCCGCCCTACAAAGAGGATAAGAACGGGAAAATACGCCCTGTTCGTGGAAACGGTTGGGGTGGGGCCCGAAGGGGTAAAGCCTTCGAGAGCGTGCGTGGACAAGGTGAGCAACATCGTGGCGTTGGCACAAGAGTATGCTATGTTGGCCATACAACCATGCAGCATGCTTCAGACGGAGGGTTTGTGAAGGCTGTACTGTTTATGAAGCGAAACTGAACTAGAGTCTGAATGCAAGTGCGTGTATACCCTAATGATTCTGATACATGGCGTGTGTGCAGATGTTGCCCAATCAACAGGAGCTGAAACAGAGGGGGTTGCTCCAAGCCTGCAGCCTCATCCTTGCACGATTGTTAGCACTGAAAGCAGCCAAGAGCACGCGGTACTCCATGCAGCTGGCGTACCAGATCAAGCCCAAAGGTGAGACAGTGCGTAGATGGGGTTGGTTGAATGAGGTGTAAAACTAGGGGTGGTATTGAATGAATAGGTGGAAAGTGAAGACATTCGAGCATCCACGAGCCCTCACACACCCACACATGCCCGCACGTGTGCATGAGCTCATAAGAATACAGACACATGCACGCACCTTTGGCACCATGCAGCCCCATGCGCACGCACCTTTGGCACCATGTAGTCACATGCGCACGCACCTTTGGCGCACCATGCAGTCACACGCACCTTTGGCACCATGCAGTCGCACGCACCTTTGGCACCATGCAGTCACACGCACCTTTGGCACCATGCAGTCACACGCACCTTTGGCACCATGCAGTCACACGCACCCTTGCCACGTGCCATTGCGCCCTGCCTTGTGCTCTCCCATTGCGACTTGGATTGTGCCCTCCCATTGCGCCCTGCCTTGTGCTCTCCCATTGCGCCCTGCCTTGTGCCCTCCCATTGCGCCCTGCCTTGTGCCCTCCCATTGCGCCATGCCTTGTGCCCTCCCATTGCGCCTTGCCTTGTGCCCTCCCATTGCGCCCTGCCCTGTGCCCTCCCATTGCGCCATGCCTTGTGCCATCCCATTGCGACCTGGAGTGTGCCCTCCCATTGCGCCCTGCCTATGGGCCCTCCAGGAATACTCATCAGGATGGGCCCCTCAAGGATACTCCAGTTCCAGTCCCGAGAGGGTGGCCACGTGCTCCAGCCGTCAAGGACATGTCACCGTACATGGTATGTTTATTGGAGCCAACACACATGCTAGAAGCATTAGCACCACTTCGTATCAGTTGCACAAGAAAAGCCTGCGGCGGGAGCATGTCCCTCGTGTCATGGAAAACTACATGGGCTTCACTAGGACTGTATTGGCACTGTAGTACATGCCCTACCCGCACGGAGATATGGACAAGCCCGAAGAAGGAAAACCCCCCTAATGGGAAGCGGACCGGACCAAGGTCTATACAGCTGATGCAAAAGTTTGTGGGTGCGTTTGCCCTCGGAGGGTTAGGGTTTCAAGTGATGTGGGAAGTGTGTCGCAACCTCGGAATGCCAACTCCTGGAAAAACGACATTTTACCGACTGTTGCAGGGTGAAAAGGGTTTGTGGAAGGCTATCATTCGTGCAGCCCAGGTTTCTATGGAAGTAGTGCATGATAGCTTGTCTAAGAGGGCTGGTGGGGTGGGATATATTAGCGTAGATGGTAGATTTAGCCAAGCTCGAGAGGCGGAGTGGTGCTGTGTGTCTTTTCTGCATCCCGAGAGTAGGAAAATTGTGCATGTCGAAAATACGAAGAAGTATGTCCATGATCCTTCATCCCCTAGGCTAGAAAGCGTTGCATTCAACTTAGGCATGGACTATTTCAAGAATGTGGGGTTTGAAGTGGCTGGTATTGTTACGTACGAGGGTAGTACATTCAAGACTGTGGCTGCGGACAGAGGGGTGGGACACCAGCACGACTGGTGGCACAAGAGGCGGTCAGTGGTCAAGAGCTTCGAAAACGATCTGCAAAACCGTGTAAGGGCTGTGGTCCAAATTGATGAGGCTCAGGTCGTAGAGGACCTTCATATGCATACGGTCGTGAAGCTAAAAGGGTGGTTGCAGAAGAAGGCCCCAAGCAAGGTGGGTGGGTCCAATGGAAAAGACAAATTGATCGAGGACGTTTGCACTGAGCTCGGAATCAAGTACCGGTTTGTGGATCCGGCAGATGCAAAATGGGAACATCCTGACTTGCATAAGGTTGTGAACGCAGCAAGCGTGCTGGGGGCCGATCAAGGAGTGAGGGAATTGGAGGAGCGAGATGAGGAGGAGGAGGCGGACCAAGTGGACGTACCTGTTATGCTGTCGCTAATACATAGTCGTGGCATGGGGGGTCATCAGGATGGGCCTAGAGAGGGCGGTGATGTAGTGGAGATGCTAGAAGGACCAGTGCCGGTGGATGTTTGTTGGCCGGATGTGGAAGAATTGTGGCAATACGACATCCACCCAGTGCACGGATTGCGACCGTCATCTCAGGCGTCATTGGTGGTAACACTTGCGTGCAATGGTGCACGCGAAGAGACGGATTTCATGGAGCGTGTGGCAGATCTTTTACCCGCATCGGCCAATCAAGAAGGTAAGTTTAGCACTCTTACACATACTCACAGATCTAATGTCATGTCGGTCACACCATTTCAGCCACTCTCACTGCTCATTCTCACCATTTCAGCCCCCCCACAGAGCTCATTTTGTGCACTCCAGCCGCTCACAGACCACCACTCCAGCCCTGGACATAGCTCATTACCACCACTCCAACCCTGGACATAGCTCATTACCACCACTCCAGCCCTGGACATAGCTCATTACCACCACTCCAGCCCCGCATACACCTCTTCAGCCATGAATGCACATGGCATGTGCCGTGTGCACTACCACTGCAACACAACCAGCCTCTAATGTCCTGATGCTCATATATTGGGGACTTGCAGGAGGGCTGGATGGCATCTCCAGCATCAAGAGCAAGGATCAGCGACGGTGGTCAAAACGTAGCTCAAAGAAGCGGGCACGCGGGGAAGGTACCAGTGCGATCCCTGCTGGAGGGAGCGATGGTAGCAAGAAATTGGTGTTCTCTGTTGGTCAACGCTTTAGCGTGCATTTCAAGCACTGCATGATGCGGGCTGCCACCAAGGCCAGCGAGGGAGACCCGATGACGCCGGAGCAGGTGTCTGAGGAGTTGGGGCTTGCTGCAGATCACTGGGCAGGTGACCATACTCGCTGCCGACGTGTGGGAACCATGCCTCCACGCTGTATTTCGGAAGGGTGGGGGGAAGAGAGTGCTGTATACGCGTCTGGATCACCTACCCACTTGGCTGTTCGTGAATGGTTCAAATCACGGCTCGGGCCAACCCAAGTGGCAACATTGATTCATGGCGCAAACAGCTCACTGAACGAGTCTTTCCACTCACTTGTTTGCAAGTATGCACCCAAGCGGCTGCGTTTCAGAGGCAGCATGGAGGCACGCATAGCCTTAGCCGTGCTGCATTGGAACAGCTGCATGGACCGGCTTGTCAAAGCTTATCGCATCCGGGTGCGAAAAGTGACGCGTGTCCAGAGGGGCCGAAAGGAGAGGATATTAGGACCCATGGACTGGTCATGGGTGGACAGCATTATGCGGGAGTGGTTGGCACAAGGTGCAGCGGATGCTGGGGAGGCTGAGAGGAACGGAGAGGGCGAGGGTGTTGATGGTGCTGATGATGAGGAACGAAGTGAGAACACCCGTGACCGGACCCTCCAGCACCGTTTCAGTTGAGCCTGAAGGCAGCAGCCCGATTGTGCCCACTGGCCTCGTATTTTCGCCTGGATGCCAGGGCAGCACGACTCGATCTGGTGCACCCAATCCCAAGAAGCGACCTAAACCTGCACGCCGCCACTTGCTCGGTTCGTTGTCGTGCTTCAACAACGTAGTTGCTAAGTCCCATGTCACATAAAAGAGTGGCCCAGCCCACCTATGAGTCTCAATGCCTTCCATCTACCCCTCTTTGTTGTGGTAGTCCCTCATGAGGTACACCACTTGCAGGGCAACGTGGTCAGCATGACATACGGTAGAGTAATGCCCAATGTGTCCATGTGTCCTTTCCCCACTCCACTCCCGCAGGGGAATTGCCAACCAATCTGCGTTGATGCAAGCGGCACGAAATGGCGGTGCGGGCGTAAACGCAAGTCGCAACATGCATAGGTGGGTACTCCGACCATGGTTGGTGTGCACACCACGCCACACCACCGTTTGGGCCTTGGAGCTTCGTGGTGTTCTAAGACGATGACATGCCTATTTAGGTATGTGATCCATGTCAGCATGTAGGTCTTGGGAGCTGTGCATGATGCTGATTTTATGATGGTAGGGCTTGTGTGAGCGATTTCAGACTGCCGAATGTTGTAACCATCCTATGTATATCGTCACACTCGTTCTTTTCCATTCCAGATTTCTCCTCCTTTTTGTCACTCACTCCCCTCTTCCCACACATGGCTCCTTTCATCCGTGCCGTTGCCAGAATCACGTTACAACCCAGCTGTGCCATTGTGTGTGAGGCTTCTCAACAACGCCCAAGACATGAAGATTCGCCCATCCAAGCAGGAAAGGCGTGGGCCCATGGTGGAGACTATCTCCTTCAATTCGGCAGCATGTGATACGCCTTTCTGTTGCTCCGCGAACACAACATTTCAATCACTCTTCGTGTAACTCTAACAGCATCCCACCCGGCATGGAAGGTTGCTAGGCAAGACACAGGCATGTGCTCATGGCATTTCTTTTTTTCCGGGTGTCGCAACCCACCGATGATTGAGTGGGCTATATTATCGCGTGTCCATAGAGTAAAGGTGAAGCATGCTCAAACTAAACATTGTAACAACACAAGACTCATGCAATAGAGTTGTTTTGTAGCCTGTGTTTTACGGTACTAGCTTGGATCTACTGCTTGGCGTGACTATTTATGTAGGGTGGTCTGGCTGTTGGAGGTCCACATCATGCTGAAGACAGTTGCTGCTACTGGTTATGTGAAGGCTGGTCCCTGTGCCATGCAGACATGTGCAGGAAGGCTGCAGGAAGATAGGGAATGAGGTAACTGGGCTGATGGGGAAAGAGGAAGTAGGAAACGGCATGCATGTACTTTCAAGGACGCAGCAGGTGTAAATCACGAATATCAGAATAGCTTTCGAGAACTCTCCCGAAACAGCTGCTTCAGTCCGTCTGACGTAAAGCTGAAACAAACTTCTGTGCGTATCAGAAGAGACAACAATCCAGAACATGCACCAAACAAACAGAAGAATAGCAGGAAGACAGCAGACACACACCCAATGGAAGGAAGACCGCTGCTGCTGCTGCTCTGCCCCCCACCACCAACACCGCCACTGGCACCATTCTCACTCTCCTTCGCCCCGCCCCTCTCCTCTCCCCTCCCCTCCCTCACTCGCCTCCCCCGCTCAGCCATGAGTGCTCCCACAGCAGCCAACCCATCCACTACGGGCCACTCCCCCACCATCACCCCCTCACACTCCCTCACTCTCCCTCCCTCTTTCCCTACCCCACCCCCTCCTCTCCATCGTCTTCGCTTCCTCCTCCTTTCCTGCAACCCCCTACCGCTTACCCCACCGTCCATCACCTTGCGAACCGCTCTCCTCCTCCCTCTTCTCACTGCATGATCCTTACCCACTCTATTTCCCACCCTTCTCACTCCCCCCACCCGTCGCCTCACCCAAAAATCGCCTGTATCCTCCCCTCTCTCCTCCACTCCCGTCTCAGCTCCTACCCTTCCTACCCACTCCATCCTCCCCCGCTCCTCCTCACTCCAGTCCACAGCCAATCGAGGCATCGACCCCTCTTCCTCCGGCATCCCTCTACGAGTCTTTCCACTCTACGAGTTTCACCCCCTAAACCCTGCTGCGGCCATGGGCCTCAGGGGTGCTACTAGTCCCTGCGGGGAGTGGCTAGCGAGAGACGGAAATTCGGTCCACAGTCAAGAGGCGAGAATGAAGTGAAGATGCGCCAATTCGGACAAAAACCAACCCGCCAGTGCTGCTGCCCTGCTCTGGCTTTTCAGAACTCTCAAAAGCCACTCATGTTCTGACATGCGTCACCCTCCCAGTGCTGCTGATCTCCGAGGCATCTTCTGAGATGCTTCGTGCTGTTGTCCATGGCTGTGGCCCCCATTGCACCCACCTTTGACCACAGTTAGCATCGCTATTAGCACCACTGCCTGAGTGTACACTCACTTCCCCTTACCTGCACTTCGCCCACCGTGCCGCGCTGCTCAGGTCAGGCTGAATTGGGAGCGTATCAATGACGCACACCCGCAGCCACAGCACCAGCTAGCACCACCGCTAGCGCCACCAGCGCCACCCTCGGCACCACTGCCTCGTACTTTCTCACCTGCACTGTGAACACTCGAGGTCTGGCCTCCATGGGAGAGTATCAATGAGGCAGGACAAGGCACACCCACGGCCATAGCACCAGCTAGAACCACCCCCGGCGAAACCTATGAACATCATACTAGCGCCACTAGTGGCACCTGGCGCCTCATATTCCCTCACCGCACTTTGACCACTTGTGGCCTGGTACCCACGGGTGAGGATCAACGAGGCAACGGGCCCCATACCCACCACCACAGCACCTGCTGGCACCAACCCCACCCCCAGCAACATTAAGCCCAGCACCACTATCAGCACCAGTGCCTCATTTTCCCTCACAACCATACTTTGACCACTTGTGCCGCTCAGGCAGCCATGAGAGAGGATCAATGAGGCAGCACAGCATCCACCCAGCACCTGCTAGTACCACCAGCAGCACCACCAGTGCCACTTTTAGCCTCACCTTCACTTTGACCACTCGTGCTGCTCTGGCCGCCGTGGGAGGCGATCACTAAGGCAGCATGACGCACAGACAGCACCAGGGCACCCGTCACAACCAGCCCCAGCAGGACCAGCGCGGGATGGCTCATTGCTGTCCTCTGGTTTTTGTTTCGTATGGTTTGGCTCGCCAGATCGCTACTCGCCTGGGTTGGGAGGAGAGTCGAGCCTGTGATAGCGAGATGAGGAGGAGGAGGGGAAGGGGGGAATGGAAGAGTGAACTGGTGATATACCCTCATCTGCAGCCCCACTCCGTGTCCGTGGTGAAGCCAGCTCCAGCACGCACCGCCATCAGCGCTACCAGCAGGTCCAGCAGCAGAAGCAGCAGCAGCTGGACGAGGAAGAATGACAAAGCAAGCTTCTCTAGGTCTTCGCCTTCCTGCCTCACCCAACCCTATCCCTAAACCTGAAAACTGCCGCCCTCAAATCATCCAGAAAATGTTCCCAACTTTACACCTCTCCACCTGCATCTTCCCCTCCGAACCTGCAACTACCTCTTCCAACCAGCAACTACCTCTTCCAAAAAAGAACGAACCCTCTCACACACCATCCGTCGATCTCATCCCCCAACCCTACTAAAATTACTTGGCAAAAACGTCCTGTCGCCGCCGAAGCTGCAATGGAGGGACCAGATTCGACGCCAGCAAGGCCAGGGACGACCGAGCATCGCCTGCAGGTTCGGAATCCATGGCACGGGTCTACGAGCCTAGGAGATCCGTGGAGCCCCGTCCTGAGTATTCCAGCCAATTACGGGGCTCCATGGAGAAGCAGGGAGCAGAGACGGAGTGGGAAAGTCCTTCTGCTGCCGTGGATGGAGGTAAGGGAGCAGGCGCAACGGCGCCAGAAGAGACGTCGTAAGACGAAACGGTGACTGTAGCAGCGGCATGATGGAGAGGCGGAGGGGCGGCTTGCGTGGAGCGGCTGAGAGGAGAATACGGGGCGTAGGGGATGGTAGGCTATGAGTGGTTGCGGCGGAACGGAGAGGGAAGGTGAGAGGAGGGATTGGAGGTGTGGGGAAGGGAGGGGCGAGGGGAAGAGGTGGGCTCGGATGGAGATGGGAGGGGATGAGGGAAAGGTGACGCTTACAAACAAGGCGGGGAGAGGAGGGCGTACGAGCCAGACGGCGTGGGGTGACGCTCTCCGAATCCAGCGATGCCCCATCCATATTCCACAGACAGACGGCGGGGAGAGAGGGCTGCAAAGGGGCATGGGGACAGTGGGGTCGCATTCGAAAGGTGGGAAGGGGGGATTTGATGGGTGGATTTGAGGGGGTCTTGAGGCATGAACTGTCGGACACGACATTAGGTATGCGTTGGTAGCCTTGACGACGAGGTGTCTGATTCGCAACCACATGTCGAACTTGGTCGCGAAACCCTAAACCGATGCGCGTGTTTGTAAGCGTCGCGCGCATTTCCGGCCATTCGCTCCACCGATGCAATGACGAGTCGGCGTTTTACCCGCCCGTGTAGTTCGTATGTACGACGCGTTCATTCAGGCACGATGCGTGGCGCAACCTCTCACCACGGCATAAAACTATGCGCGACGAATCACCGCGCGGCGAGACGCGGCGCGTAAGGGCGAAGGTGGCGATCAGCCCGAGGCTACATGGCCAGTCGACGGCGTGCCGCCATGGCTGTAATTATCATGGCCGTGACGGCGAACGCGACCGTCGTTACAACCGCCGTTGCGATTTATCCTCTCTGCGCTATAACCAGGACACTTCCCGTGCGACCATCATTCTAAACTGTAAGATTTGCTGGTTGCACCCTACACTCCCTCGTGATGGCGTCGAAATGCTATCAGGTGTGCTATGGGCAATCGTGGTGTGCCAGGGATGTGTGATGGCCTATTGTACGGCTCTGCAGCTGGTGCTAGTTTGTGTTTTGAAGTTCCAAATTGCGCTCAATCTGGTTCAAGTTTTTGGGTGTGTTGGCAAGACGGGTTCTTCAGAACCCTGGGCTGCGACGGAACACAATTGTGTTCAATTTCATTGGCTCCCATCCCTTGGGGATATGTTATCATTGGTTCATTTCCTCAATTGTGTCGCGCGGACTTCAGCCTACTCTAAACTCGGTAACCCGAAAGTCATTGCGTCAAGTATTAAAAGCTTGACGCGCGCGGCTTGCAATTTGGGTCAACGGCTTTAATTCCAGTCGTTCCACGCCGTAACGAGAGCATCCCTCCCTGCTGCTGGTGTGGAATATGTCATGGCTAACGAAATCAGTTACCAGGCTTCGTGATTCTGTAAAGTGAGTTTGTTGGCGAAGTGCAGGTTTGACTGTCCAGACCAGAGCAGAGCAGAGTCGCTTCGACGGATAACCCATCTGAACCGCTTTCATTCGATTCGAGCTAGCAACTTTGATGGCGGTGTTGTGAAGTGAAAGAGAAACTACTTCTGTCTTCGCGTCCCGCCCGATGCCGTGCAGCAACGGCTCGGTTCCTCAGGAGGTTGGCGAGCGGGAAACACACATCGCGGTGCGCACGCCGCGTGTAGAATGGCGGGGAGGCAGCGCGGGAAAGTGGTGGCGAGACGAGAGCAGTGCCAGACGACGTTGACTGTCGAAGGCGGATGCGCGGCGGCTCGCTACGTGTCGTCGCGGGTTCCCCACCGCCGCGCATTGCTACGCGCGCTTCTCCCCCTGCTCGCGCTGCTGCTTGCGCCCCCTCGCCTCGTATCGCTGCGCCATTGCGGTGCGCTGGGTGCGGCGACGAGCCCGCAAGTGGCGGAAGACGCAAGGCGATTGTACGAGGCAAGCCCGCAGCCCGCATGACGCGCGCGCATCGCTTTCTCATGTGTTCCCCGCTTCGGCTATCACCGCTCGCCATGGTAGCACAGCCGAGTTGACTTTTGAGTCGACTCAAAAGTCAACTCACAGCCGTAGACCCTTCCCATCCCGCCCCGCGTAGACCCTTTCCGTTTTTTTCCCGTTCCCCTTTCCCCACTCCCCCGCCTCCCCACTCCCCCGCCTTCCCCACTCCCCCCTTTTCCCCCCATCCGCCGTGCAGGCATGGCAGGCGGCGTATGGCCTGTCTCCTGACGCCATCAGCCCGCCGGCGGAGGTGGTGCTGCCGGCCTCCGTGCCGGCCGCGCCCCACCTGCAGGACTGCAGCGCGCGCACGGCCGCGCGGGAAGCGGCGGAGAGCAGGGGGCGCGGGGGGGAGGAGCCGCAGTGGGCACGCGGGGGCGAGTGCTGCGAGTGTGGCCCGCAGCCCCCGTGGGTGAGTTTTAGGCGGGCAGGTGGGCAGGCGGGAAGGCGGGCAGACGGGCAGACGGGCAGACGGGCAGACGGGCGAGCAGGTTGAGGGGATGGAGCAAAAGGCAAGGGGCAGCAGCGAGCGATGGCATGGCCATGCTGTCACCCTGCAAAGCTGACACTGCTCCCAAACCCAATCCTGCCTCTTCGCTCCCCTCCCCCTCTCCCTCCCGCCTCTCACCCCTCCCCAACCCCGCACTTTCTTCCCCCGCTCTCCACTCCCCACCCCCCCACTTTCTTCCCCCAACCCAATCCCCCCACCCGTCCCCCCCACCCCTCCGCCCAGGTGACAGGCTCGGACGCATCAAACCTAGCGCTGACGCGCGTGGCACAGCGGGACCTGTGGCGCTCGCAGTTCCCCGCCACGTGTGAGGGGCGGCGCCTGCTGGTGGTGGAGTGGGCGTGCCCGTACCACGGCACGGGGTCCATGGTGCACGTGCTCAGCGCTCACTTCAGCATGGCCCTGCGCTCCAACCGCACGCTTGTTGTCAGGGACAAGTCCTTTCACCGCGCTAATAATGCCGCGTGCACGGGTGAGGCGAGGAGGTTGTGGTGAGGCGGGGAAAGGAGGGAAGGGGGGGGGAGAAGGAGAGGGGGGGGTTGGGTTGGGGAAGGGCATGCAATGCGATTGAGTGATGCACAGCAGTTGCTGTGCATCTGGCTTACCCTCGTTCAGTCGTGGCTGCTCGCATGGTTTGGTTTCACGTGCATGGGTGGTTTCAAATCAGCCACAGACACTCGTGCCGCATCCTCTCATGAATCCATGTGTCCCTCTCCTCACTCAAACAGCCCAACCTCCGATCCCGCATCCCGCCCTCCCCCCTTCCCATGGCCTGGTAGCTAGCCCTGGGGCAGGAGGGCGAGTGGGAGTGCTACTTCTTCCCCATAACCGCGCCAGACTGTCGCCGCATAGCCATGGCAGCGCTAGCCTCACCCTCGCCCGCCGTGCCGTGGCTGTCATCCATGGCGTCCGACTGGGAGGCGCTGCTGCTGTCCGAGGCACCTGTGCTGGCGTGCAACGACTCTGGCTTCCATGCCGATGTGCTCGCTAATAAGTGCGCTGGTTCCCTTGCCGCTGCCACTGCTGCTGCTCGCCTTCTATTTGCTGCTGCTGCTGCTGCTGCTGCTGCTGCTGCTGCTGCTGCTGCTGCTGCTGCTGCTGCTGCTGCTGCTGCTGCTGCTGCTGCTGCTGCTGCTGCTGCTGCTGCTGCTGCTGCTGCTGCTGCTGCTGCTGCTGCTGCTGCTGCTGCTGCTGCTGCTGCTGCTGCTGCTGCTGCTGCTGCTGCTAATGCTGCTGCTGCTGCTGCTGCTGCTGCTGCTGCTGCTGCTGCTGCTGCTGCTGCTGCTGCTGCTGCTGCTGCTGCTGCTGCTGCTGCTGCTGCTGCTGCTGCTGCTGCTGCTGCTGCTGCTGCTGCTGCTGCTGCTGCTGCTGCTGCTGCTGCTGCTGCTGCTGCTGCTGCTGCTGTTGCTGCTGCTGTTGCTGCTGCTGCTGTTGCTGCTGCTGCTGTTGCTGCTGCTGTTTCTGCTGCTGCTGCTGTTGCTGCTGCTGTTGCTGCTGCTGCTGCTTGCTCGTGGTTGCTTGCTTATGTGTCGATGTGCTCGTCTTGCCATTGTCATAACAGATGCAACTTGTTTCATGTCACTGGATGCATCCCTCCCATCCCATCGCCACCGCCCCACACTTCCATCTCCCACCTCCCATCCGCACTTCCCATGCGCACCCCCCACCGGTGCAGGTTGTGGGGTCCGCCAGCGTTTGAGCGGCCAGTGACTCTAGAGGAGGTCAACCACACGCAAGTGCCTCACAACAACAGAAACGTATGCCGCACATGCATGCTCCCCATGCCACGCTCCATATGCACTACACATGTGTGCATGCACAACGTATGCACGCTCATTGCTTCACCCTGTCAAAGGTGAAAAAGTTGCACTAGTAAGAGTTGGGTACAGGAAACATGGACATACAAAGTGCTATACTCTCTAGAAACTAACCCTTTCTAGCCTATAGAAACTAACAAACATGTAAAATATACACACTTCTCTATTCCAGCACGCATCTCCCTACCACGGTTCGGGCTCCTTCAACCACATCCACAGCCGTCCCCTCACACCCTTTCGTCCTCCCCATCCCCCGTCCCTTCTACTCCCTCCCTCCCCCTCCTTCGCCTCTTCCTCCCCCCACACCCCCCTCAGTGGGACCTGCTGTCCTGCAGGAGTTCCGGTGGTGGAGGGTGCAGGTGACGCGCTTCTGAGGCGCCTCAAAAGCCCTTTTCCTCCCTCCCCCCTCCTCCCCCTCCTCTTCCACCCCTCCTCCCAGTGGGACCTGCTGTTCCTGCAGGAGTTCCGGTGGTGGCGGGCGCAGGTGACGCGCTTCCTCTTCCGCTGGCCCTCGGCACACCTCTGTCACTTCATCAACCGCGCGCGCCACGACGCATACGGCCTCTCCGTGGCCCAGCAACTCGCAGCAGCCGCCGCCCAGCAGAGCAGCATCCTCCTCGCCTCCCCGCCCGGGAATGGAGGGGGTGGTGGTGCTGCCGTGGGGATGGTGGCAGCGGAGGGGGTGAGTGAGGGAGAGCGGCAGTATCTGGCATCAGTGGGTGTGGAAGCAGCGGGGGGAGGGGGCTTGGCACAGGAGTGCTGGCCCATGGCAGGCCTTGCTGCTTGCACCACGTGTGGTGTCGCCAGCAGTACCACCAGCAACACCACCTGCAATGGCACCAGCAGCAGTAGCAGCAGCAGCAGTGCTGGTGGCGGCAGTGGTAGTGGTAGTGGTAGTACCGGTGATACTGGTGGGGATGAATGGGGGGCTAAGTTGCACAGCGCAGTACACGGGGAGCCGTTCATACCCCGTCCGTACCTGAGTGTGCACGTGCGGCTGAGCGACAAGGGCTCTGAGATGGCGCTGCGCTTCTTCCCCTCCTTCCTCTTCTTCGCCTACAAGATCCGTGCCCATGTGCCCAACCTGCACCACGTCTGGCTCTCCTCTGAGATGCAGGTCAGGGTGGGAGGATTGCGAGTGAAGGGCGGGTGAAGGGCGGGTGAAGGGCGGGTGAAGGGCGGGTGAAGGGCGGGTGAAGGGCGGGTGAAGGGCGGGTGAAGGGCGGGTGAAGTGTGGGTGAAGGGCGGATGAGGGGCGGTTGTGGAGCAGGTGAGAGGCGGGTGAGGGAACACCGTCTAATCAAATCTTTGAGGAAGGAGCAGTAGCAGTGAGTGGAAGGAAAGGCATGCATCCAGGATAGCACCGGCTCTGTGAGGTCCGTGAGGTCGTGGGTGCTGTGGGTGGGCCGTGTCTCCAGGTGGTGCCGCAGTGAGTGCACTAGCATGCAGTGACGCTGTAGCTCGCAGGGTGCCTCGCCCTGCAAGGCCTTGCACCACTGTGACGTGCGTGCTCACATGTGCTGCTCCCTTCCCTGCACAGCCCCGTAGATTTAAATCTGCCTCACAGCACCACAATCCCACACCCTCACAGCCTCACAGCCCCACAGTGCAGGGCAGCAAGCAGTAGTCAACGCACATGCAAGCGGGTACATGCCACACAGCCCTGGCCCGTCACCGCTCTGCACCTGTCGCTTCCAATCCCTGGCCAGCTTGCACTCTCCCTCCTGTTCTTCACCTCATCGCTTCATCCCCATCAGCATCAGCATCTGCCTGCCCCCATGCTTGCGTTGCAACCACGTACCGTGTCTCTTCCCTCAACCCCCGTTTCCCCCCCCTTGCTCGGTCCGTGCAGTTAATCATAGGCAAAACCCCCCATTACCCCGAATTGGCGTCCTTCATTGGTTTCCTCGTCATCAGTCGCCGCAACCCCACCCACCCTCACCCTTCACTCCCTTCTCCCCTGCCCCGCAATCAACTTCCTCTCCATGCAGTTCATAATAGACGAGGCCGCCCAGTACCCTGACTGGACCTTCCTCTTCACCAACAGCAGCCGCGTGCGGGACGCACAGGAGATGGCAGACCAGGTGCAGTTCAACCGCCAGCCGCACATGCCCTTCATCTTCGCCAACCTCGTTATAAGCTCGCAGGCGGATTACTTTGTGGGCGCGCACGCGTCCAACTGGAACCAGCTTATTAACGAGTTGAGACAGACAGGAGGGCGCTTGCATGCGGGGTATCTTGCGCTGAATGATGCGTGGTAGATAGGGGATGCACAGAGGCTTTTTCAGCACATGCTGTATTTGTTGCCATTTTTTTTTTCTAGCTTGCATCTAACCACCTTTCACTGTGGTTTTCCTCTCATGTCTTGACTAAACCAGAATCCACTATGGCGAGAAGAAGGGTGTAGTTCGCCTTTTCCTAGAATTGGAGGCTTCTTCTCTGGAGTACGTGGCCTACAATAGTAGCACAAATTCGTTCGCTGACGCCTCCTCGACGAGCAGTTAGTGAGCGCCACGTGTCCAAAAAAGGGCAGAACCCACACGCTGCGAGCCTTGGCAGGGTTTTCAGCAGGATTCGATGCCCTCGAGGCAAGGAAGGTGCTCACCCATTGTTGTTCCACTCCGCCCCGCGTACAATCCCAAGGGACAAATCCCGAGGGGCTGTATGGAACGGTTGCCGTTCCTATAGCGAGAGCACTCGCTGTACCGCCACCAGAAACAGATTTTTGGTGTGGTGGATACAACCCAGTTTCAGCCTACCAAACCCAACTGAACCGATCTGACGTCTTAGGGCGTGTCTTTTGTTTTTTTTCTGCATTTCTCCGGACGGTTCTCTTTTTCCGTACTGGACGGTCCAAATAGCGAGGAGCGGACTGTCCGAATTGCCATTTCGGAACTTTGCCCCGTCCAGATGCAGTTCTGCACTTTTTCATGGACCATGAACTCACGAAGTACTGTAGCTTCGTAATGGGCACTGTATCGTCGTTACACAGGTCACGACATTTTCTGCGCGAAATTCGTGCGCCAATCTGATTCCGTGAAGTAAAAACAATCTCGCGAGCCAATATCTATTGAGTACTGTTGCACCGTCCGTTTGCTTTTCGAGCTGCGGAAGGTTCAAATTCTGAACCGTTGGGAGGAGGGAAAAGTGACGCGACAGTTCGTACCGCTGGCGACATCGCAAGTACTATCACGAAATTTATCACGAAGTCAACGAAGCTGGTAATGTTTTTGCAGTTCGGACCATCCACGGTTCGAACCGTCGAGGGCGAAAAAGAGACACGCCCTTAGTCTCAGCAGCGGCGAGCACCTTCACCAGTCGCGTTTGCGTTGCATACACAGGTCACTTCAACCACCATCTCCCCAGCCCATAGTTTTTCAACCCAGCGATCCGTGCTCCTTACCATACGCGCTGATTTCTCGCTAGCGGGTCGCATCGCATTCTAGCGTCTCTTAGAATCGTCTGCTCGCGTATCTAGCATCGTTTGAGCCACGATGTCAGCCGCTGCCATGTTGACATCCGCGTCGCTTCACCCGCCCAGCTGCGCGCGGCTATCGAGCGCGCAATCAAGCATCGCGGGTGAAGCAGCCCAGCCGCTGCTTCTGCGCGTTTGCTTCAGAAGCACAGCACTCGCGCGATCAACCGCAGCGCGAGCAGGATCGGTGCGCGCGGCGGTGGAGGCGGTGCCGACGCCGGAGACGCCGTCTTCGGAGGCGAAGAAGTTTCGGCCGGGCGAGAAGAAAGGGTTCATCGAGGAGATGCGCATCCGCGCCATGAAGCTCCACACCAAGTAAGCACTCGAATCCCGCGCGTCGAGGTGACTTCAGAGTCGAATCGAAAGGGGTTCATCGAGGAGATGCGTATCCGCGCCATGAAGCTCCACACCAAGTAGGTCGTTGGACCACCGTTGATTCAGACAGCGATCCACTTAGACTACTGGGGGCACCGCGCACGGCTGATTAGCGTCTCGTTTGATACACTCACACTAGCTGCGTAGTCGCAGTCATTAAGCCCCCACGTACCCCGCCGTGTGCTTCCGACTTCCCGCCGCACCTGTGGCCACGCCAACCAACCTAACACGCGTCTTCCCCTCTCCACCCACTCGCGCAATGGCAGAGATCAGGCGAAGGAGGGCGAGGAGGAGACCAAGGAGCGGCCGCTGGCCAAGTGGGAGCCCACAAAGGAGGGGCTCGTGCAGTTCCTCGTGGACAGCAAGGCCGTCTTCGACGCCATGGAGTCCGTCGTCCGCGATAGCGACTTGCCCGTCTGTAAGCGGTTAGAATCCGCGATAGCTCGCTCGAGATAGGTCCGATGACCTCGTTAGAGTCACGAGGTTTGGGTCCGTTTTCCGCACAGTTAGAATCAGCCTGTCGGTCCTGATCCGGACGACCGCGCTATGCGACTTTCAGCAGGTTGTTCCCGATCGGCTCATGGAGTTGTTGCTCGCCTTTGCATCCCGTCGCAATTCAATCCTTTCTGCCTTGTCCCTTTTCTGGGCCTTCCCTTCCACCACTCACCTCCCCTTCCCCCCTCGCCGCTCGCCCCTTGCCGCTTACTCCTCCACCCCCCCTTCCCCCGTCAGACCGCAAGTTCCTCAACACGGGGCTGGAGCGCGGCGAGGCGTTGGCTTTTCAAAATCCGCGCCTCCTCCCTGCCTCTCGTCCTTGGTCCCCCCTCGCTCCTCCCCATGCCGCAAGTTCCTCAACGCGGGGTTGGAGCGCGGCGACGCATTGGCAAAGGACCTCGCGTGGTTCGAGGCGCATTGCTTTAGGATCCCGCCGCCCGACGAGGCGGGGTCCTCGTACGCCAAGTGCCTTACCTTACCGTCAAGTATTCCCTGCCCCTCCACTCCCGCCACCCTCCTCCTTCTCTTCCCCTTCCCCTTCCCCCCTCCCCCGTCCCCCCTTCCCCCGTCCCCCCTCCCCCTCCCCGCTTCCCCCCTCGCTCCTCTTCCTCCGGACCGGAAGTTTCTCAACACTGATCTGGAGTGCAGCGGTGCGTTGGCCAAGGTCCTCGCGTGGTTTGAGTCGCAGGGCTTTAAGATATCGCCGCCCACCTCTCCCCCTCGTTCCTCGCCTTCCCCTCTCCCCCCCCCTCCTCCCCCCGCCCTCTCCTCCCCCCTACAGGGCTGGAGTGCAGTGACGCGTTGGAAAATGACCTTGCATGCTTCGAGTCGCAGGGCTTTAAGATTCCGCCGTCCACCTCTCCCACTTCCCCCCATGCGCCCTCCCCCTCGCCCCCCCTCCTTGCCCCTCTCCTCCCCCCCACCCACCCCCCCCTGTCAGACCGCAAGTTCCTCAACACAGGGTTGGAGCGTGGCGACGCATTGGCGAAGGACCTCGCGTGGTTCGAGGCGCAGGGCTTTAAGATCCCGCCGCCCGACGAGGCGGGGTCCTCGTACGCCAAGTACCTTGCTGAGCTGGCGCGCTCCGATACGCCCGCCTTCATCTGCCATTTCTACAACGTCTACTTCGCACATTCCGCTGGCGGTCGCATGATTGGTCGCAAGGTGGGTCGCACGATCGGCCGCAAGGTGGGTCGCATGATCACATGTAAGGTTGCATGATCGGTCACAAGGAGAGACTATGATTGATCGCAAGGTAGGTTGCTTGTGTTGAAGGCTTGCTGCACGACATGTCAAAATTGGTTCACGAGGGAAGGAGGTTGCTGGAAGGCCTAGGGATGGTGGCAGGGTATGCTGGTGGAGGGGCGAGAGAGGGCGTTCTACCAGTGGGACGCAGAGGTCTCTCCTTCCCTCGCTCACTTCCTCCCACCCCCTCCCTCTCCCCTCTGCGCTCCCACCCCAACCCCCCCTTCCCCCCCACGTGCAATGCAGGTGTCGGAGATGCTGCTGGAGGGGCGGGAGAGGGCGTTCTACCAGTGGGACCCAGAGGTCTCTCCTTCCCTCCCTCACTTCTCCCACCCCCTCCCTCGCCCCTCTTGGCTCCCCAACCCCCCCATGCCCCCCACATGCAATGCAGGTGTCGGAGATGCTGCTGGAGGGGCGAGAGATGGCGTTCTACCAGTGGGAGGGCGAGCTGCCTGAGCTGCTGGCGGCCGTCAGAGAGAAGCTGAATGAGGTGGCGGAGGTGAGTGGCTGAATGAGGTGGCGGAGGTGAGTGGCTGAATGAGGTGGCGGAACGGAGGTGAGGGGTGAGAGGAAGTGAATGGCTGTGTGACTGGTGCGAGGAGATCATTGCAGGTGGAGAGGCGGGGCGAGATGTGAAGGTGAGAAGGTGGAGAGAGGATGAATGAAATGAAGCATGTGGTGGAGGTGTGCAGGAGTAGGGGGTGAGTCTGCTGCCATGCCATGTGTCGGGGTGGCAGGCTGGTACCAACATGGATTATGTCTTTTGAGCACGCACATGTTCTTGCCATCATTAAACTCAATGGTATGTGTGTGGTGTGTGTGAGTGCATGTGGGGGTGTGCGTGTTGCGGGGCCACGCGCGTGTGTGCATGTGCTTGTGTGTGCACCCCCCTGCAGGACTGGACAAGGGAGCAGAAGGACCATTGCTTGGAGGAGACAGAGAAGTCCTTCAAATATTCGGGCCAATTGCTGCGACTCCTCATCTCTTAGACTTGGCAATATTGCCACAGAACCAACCGTGAACTCAACTGAGTATATCTAGTGTAGTGGTGTATCTAGAGTACCAGCGATGTCTTCTTTAAATCCACACTTTGGCTACTTGGATAATGCAAAAAAAATGTGGAACGGCAACATATCAACGTTCATGTTCTGATGTAAAGAGCAGCTTGCATGGATCAAAATGGAGCTCAATCCTGTTGGAAACAATAAGTCTTAGTGCGCTTCTGTCGTGTCAAAACCCAAGACACTAGCGAAGCAGTCCGAATCGAAGCATCGAGTCAAACCTCGGAGGTTAGGGTAACCGCCTGGAGGTTACGGGAAAGTCAAAGGTCAGCGACCTTTGACTCGACAATTACAGCGCGACAGTTAAGGACACACAACTGACTCGTGACAGAGCAGTTGCCCGAGTCGCACTGTATCGGATCGCAACAGCAAATACAGTTATCTATCCATTCGTATTCCCTGTACAGGGCCTGTGCTAGGTTTTGGAGCATCCTGAGGCCTCAGGGCAACTTTCCAGAATCTGAAAAAATGCCCTGATTTGTCAGGGCAACTTTTCGGAGGCTTCCTGTAATTTCAGGGCTTCTACAAAAAAATATCCTGGCCTGTCAGGGCAAAAATACCGTATGGCCCCGGATAGAAGCGCAGGCCTATGTTAAGCGCATGCGCTTGTATCTGGAGCAATGCGCTTATGGCCGATCCTCAATTATAAGCGCACCCCTTTGGAATTCTTGACTTATTATAAGCGCACTCGTTTAGTTAAAAAAAAAAAAGAATTTCATTTTTTTTAACCTACCTAGCCTACATGTTCTAAACTTTCCATCAAGAATGACTATCACATACAAGGGTGGTCTCTGCTGTCCTGCACTACACCTTTCAACCTGCCTAGTCTACCCTACTGCCTTTTCTTCCTCCTCGTCCGACTCAGGCTCCGTGGAGTTGTTGCCCCAGAACCCATCTGCCTGGATGTCGTCGTCCACCTCCACCTCATGGGACAACTGGCACCTTCGGTGCGCTAGCACCAGTTTGTCTTCGCTCCCATCAAGGGCGTTGCTGATGCCGCAAGTGAGGAAGGCTTTCTTGATGAGGTCGGCGGGCACCGCCTTCCAGGCCCGTGAAATCCACTTGAGCACCACCTCCGGAGGTGGTTTCTTGATGTTCCCTGCATCACACGGAGTGGGGCGGGGAAAACATGAGACAAGTAAACATGCATTCAAGCTCAAGATTTGCAGACGGGAGCACATGCCGTCACTCACCTGCCGGGGTCAGGATGTTCATGCCGTCCTCCTCAAACCAATTTTGGTACTGCTGACGAATGCTTGCTTTGAAGCTTTTGTTGATCGACACATCGAGGGGCTGCAGGTCTGCCGTGCAACCCGCCGGAATGATAGCAGGCACGATGTTGAGCGCCACGAATCTCGCCTTGACTTCTGGTGTCAGGTGACCGCGATACGAGTCGAGCACCAGCATGGCGCTACGACTCTGCAGGCCGAATTTCGGCTTCAGGAACGGCACCACGCCCGTGTTGAGCCACTCGATGACGCCTGCGGCCTCCATCCACCCGTTGGCTTGGCAGCCGACCACAACATCTGCACGCAACGAAAAAGAACAGTTAACGACTCAGGTAGTAACGGGAATAAACACGGTGGACGATCACTTACCGTTCGGGAAGTCACCCTTGGGGAGTGTCTTGCGCTTGAAAAACACCCACGGCTTCAGCTTCTCGCCCGTCGCCGTGCACGCAAGCATGACGGTCACTCTCTCCTTCTGGTACCCACCGCTGCGAATGGGCACCGACCTCACGCCCGTCTGCTCCACGGTGGTCGTCGCCGGCATCTCTAACCACAGCGGTGTCTGGTCGGCGTTGATGATGTAGCGGTTGTCAATGTCGTATTCGTGACGGGCGTCACGTACGTACTGCCAAAAATCATTGCACTGCTCAGCCACGTCTGCAGAACAGGGAGAAAGGTACATACAGTAAACCAAATTAGTATGACGCATAGGAGACATGCGAAAAAAACTAAGCGCAATCGGGTACCCACCAAAATCAGCAGTAAACGACCCACTTACGCTCCTGTGTTTTCTGTGCCACCTTTGTTTTCATGCGCACGCTGAGGTTCCACCGCCTGCGGAACCGCTCCGTCCACCGCTGACTGGCTTTCCACTTGACGTCCGGGTATAGAACCTTCATCACTTCTTTGGACCACTCTTGCAGCCGGCCGACCGAAACCGCAACTCCGCGGCGTCGCCAGTCGAGGAGTTGCGCGTACACCTTTAACTCCATGGGGCGGTACCAAGACGACCTCCCGCGCCCGTGAAGTCGCATCCGTGCTCCGTGTGCAGCCTTGAGCGCATCCGCTTGGGCTTTCCATTCTGTCAGACATTTTCGGTGAATGCCTGACTCCCGCGCCACTTCGCTCACCGAAGCCGCAAGCTCGAGCCGCACGAGCCACCTCAACTTCTCCTGGGCGGTGTAGGACTGCCGCTTATGTTGATTCAGCTTGTGCCTGGGGGAGGGGGGGCGGGCATCTCGATTCTCGGTAGACGGGTGGGGGCGTTTTTTATTAAGGGGCGGATATGTCGGTACCGGCATCTTCGCGCGTGGTGCGTCGCGCCACCAGGACTCCACACCGTCCTCGTCCTCGTCACGGTCGGGGAACACGTCTTCCTCGTCGCCCGCTGCACCGTCGCCACCAGCTTCACCGTCGCCTCCAGCTTCGCCGGCGCCGCTGTCATGTTTATCGGTAGCCACATCATCGTCGGCGCCCACAGCCGACTCATCCCACGCGCAGGATTCTGGTTGTCCCCACCGTGGTGCAGTCGCTGGAGCTTGGATGCGTGCATCGCGGGCCTTCGGTGTGTCCGCTTCAGCCAACCATTCGTCGAACGTGGCTGGTAAATACAGTTGGAGCACGGGCCGTTGGTGAGCACCTGCCGTGGCAAAAGCAGGCGGATTCGGAGGAGCGGGAGGTGCGGGAGGAGCGGGTGGAGCAGGGGGTGCAGGGGGAGCAGGAGGAGCAGGGGGTGCAGGGGGATCCGGTGGCACTGGAGGCGCTGGTGGCTCACGGGTATACCACCCGTCTTCGGTAAGTCGCCATGTGCGGCGTGGCTTTTTCTTGAAGAGGATGCTCGTCCCACTAAATTCCGCCATGGCTTCGCCTGCCAGGCGGGGTTGACAAGGAACTGAATGAAAAAATCAGAGAAGAGGGTGAAGAAATGGGCAACGACGGTGACCCCTGCTGTGTGACGGCTCGGGTTCCTCGTCGATGACAGGCAGGAAACCCCCGCCCACTCCCGTAGAGGCGCCTGCGTGGCAGCATCTACGCTGCGCTGGCAGAGAATCTTGCCGAACCTTCGAGATGGTTCTGCCCGAATGCACATGCCTCGCAGCGCATGCGGCTCTGATTGGGCCGCACGACAACATCATCGTCACGGCTGTCACATTCTATGTTTCCAGACAACATTGTGCGGTGGTAAACCGAACCGCTGCGGTTTCTGCCTGAAAACCATGCACGATCCCACTTGGTGCATGGTCGGTTGAATTCGCCTTATTGAGAGCTTCACAATGGTGTGTTCAAAATTGATTTTCATTTTTCCCTTTATACAAGCGCATGCGCTTATAAATCTGACTCAATTATAAGCGCACCCCCCCAAAAAACAATGTTTTATTATAAGCGCAGGTGCGCTTCTATCCGGGGTATTACGGTATAAGCGTTCAGGGTTCATGATTGTTGGTCGGCAAGTCAGGTTGAAGCTGCTGATATGCCTGCACGGGGGAGGGTTCGATCCGAAGACCTCATCTCTCGGAAGTAACTTTCTACTGCCTAGATGATTGATTCAGCGGTTACCGACAATTTTGCCACGGGACTCCCCCCTCAACCCCCCCCCCCCCCCCCCCCCCCCCCCTCCCCCCCACCAAAAAACGCGTCAGGGCAGGCCTCGGCATTCATCCTGACGCTACAGGGAAGAACACTACAGCCATTCTGAATGTTCAGGGTATTTCATATAAAAACATCCTGAGGCCTCAGGGTTAAAATTTACACTATTCTGAAATGACAGGGTAAATTTAAAACTACATCCTGAATTCAGGGTAATCAGGATGTTTTGCCCTGATAACGTGGGGCCTGTCCCTGTACTCTTATATAAAACCTTGTATTTGCTTGTTTAATTCAATCCACTTTGCTCTCACACACTAGTGCAAGGTCGGTTCACAAACTTCATTAAACGCTTCCGCTATTACAAATATCCTACCCAGAGTTATCCTCTGCAAAGATCCTTAAGGGCTTTCTCAGCCCAACATGGTATGAGAGCTGACAGGGGAAAACTCTAACTTTTTGATCATTACAAGACATGGCAACAAACAAGGAAAGGAGCTCCCCTAATGGCTCCTCGGGCACTACTCCTACTCCACCGCCAGCCTCTGGCCTGCAGACAGAGGAAGGCACGGCAGCAAGACCAAGGGGAACGTCAACCGAGACCCCCACGAACCATCCTTCTGACTTCGACCAGAGCATGATGGAGAAATTTTTCTCCTTCATGTCCTTCTACGAGCAACACCAGCAGTCGGGACCTGCACAGACACACAACAGCAACAACGGAGCGACACCCATGAGCCTTGACGGATCGTCATATGCGCGAGGGAATCAACAGCAGCAACCCACCTTTGCCCCGTACGAGCGCGGGCCGATCAGCTTCCTGCCTCAACCTTCACCTGCGCAAGAAAAACCAATGGACGCTTTACAAGTTCAGTCACAATTCGCGCATGTCCTGAAACTGCAAACATCAAGACCCTTCGACGGAAAGGACTTCTTCACCTGGTCCTTTGAATTCGAGCTGATGATGGAGGGCGCGCAGATACTCGGCTTCTTCGACGGATAACTGCAGTATCCAGCAAACGGCACACAGTATGAGAAGCAGCAGTATACGTATCAATCGATGATGGCGTATACTATTCTACTGAGAAACATCACACCAACTCAGCAGCAGAACAT